TCAAAAAAAAAATTCGTTATAACTGTAATTCGTTACAATAAGGGTCATTTTATATATTGTGTTTAAAAAATTTTCTTTGTATAATGTTATACATCATTTAACTAGTATAATTTGGTATAACAAGGTTTTTTTAATATAGAATAATCTGTACCACACTGAAGATTTGTTGTATTGTGAAATTTGTTATATCAAAATTCGTTGTATCAAGAGTTGACTGTATTGTATTTCAATAAATATCCTTATATATTATATTAAACACAATTTAAATCCAGGGGTGGTCATCTATGGCTTAGGGTCTGACGCATTTCCTCCCTTTCAAGTTTTAAACTTGATAAATCTAAATCGAATTATTTTGATTGTGTTGATATGTTGATTTTTCTAAGTTACATTATTTAGGATTATGAAATAAAAACATTCATGACAATGCTACTTATTTGGCGAAGTTAAATTGATAGTTCCGCAATTACAATTTAATTTACACCTTTTTTCCTAAACAATACTTGCTACCTCTACGTGGTGTTTAGGATCAACAGTTATAGATCATCCTATATCTGACTAAATGCAAGTATAAAAATTAATTGTTTCTTATTATGCATTATATTACTTTACATTATTTGTTTCATATATTATTTTATATATTTTTTGAATATATGAAAGAAATTAAAAAGATCTTTAACTTAAAATTTAAATTGTAGTTAATGATTCATCATTATTTTTTCTTTTTAAATTTTTCATTTAATACTTAGAAAGATCGCGAATTCAAATCTTTGTTTAGTTTAGATAAAGGAGAAAATAAATTGATTTTGTAAATCAATTTCTGTATATTTGCTTCTTAAAATCTGTTTAATAACATACTATATATAAATAGATTGAAAACAATGTTTTTGATAAAATAATGGTTTTTATTAGAATTAACAATCGGACTTGAATTATAAAATAAAAATAATTTTGATTTCAAAATTATATTTATATATATTGGTTGAATGTTTCAAAAATAGCATACTATTCGATGAGGAATTTTCTAAATAAATTTTCTAAATAAATGCATTTTAAATATAGGTTTACTTTAAATTTAAATAACTTTAATAAATAATCGACGTAAATAATTAAATAGTGGCATAGTGAAAATCAAACTAGAGCAGTGACAAGAAAAGCTCGTTTAATATATAAATTTTAATATATAAATTGTTTTTATTTTTTTTTTACATTGGGCCTTTTCAAATTGACAATAAAATAATATAAAAAAAAAGTCAAAATTAAACCGTTTGAATAAACTCATTGTTGACAGATATATGCATTATTGCCGAAAAGTGTGATAAAAATCCTAAAAATTTGTCAGTTACGGTATGTGTTATATGTGTTCTATTTTGTGTTTTATTTTTTGTATAAGCTAAATTATTTTTTTATTATTATTATACATACAAGTTTTATAATATGCCAAATCATACAATTCAATCATTTGTTCATATTTGATCTATATAATTATTAATGTGTGAATAAATTTACTCAGCAATCAACCCCCATCAATCCCTTCTTATGCACATTCAATACAGTGTAATATCTTGAGCGCCAAAAAACCTCCAAATAAATCACTTTTATTTTCGATTGTTATTACAATTTCATCATTTTTATAAGTTTCATCTGGGCGTTTTTTGCATCGGTAACAAACAGAAAGATATGAGATCTAATGTTTCTACACTTATCGTATTCTTCCTTCACAAGCCCTTTTGCTAACATAATTGGCTCATATCCATCTATCAATTTTTTACGATTAATCACCAATTGTTTATCTTGAATAAAGATGGGTGGATTGGTAAGTAAGAATGAATCCGCAAATTCAGCTCCCTGGAGATTGTGATAAGCAATACATTTTGATGACCGATTTCTAACAAAATCTTTCCAATTCTTTTGATCAATCTTCTTATTTGTTGATTGGACAAGAAATTTAGGTTTAAATATAAGGGATATATCTTTCTGATTTTTACGCAATGGGATAAGTTGGGAGAGCATACATTTGCATAGATCAATAGATCCTATTTCAATTGCTCTTTGGTAAATTGCCCATAATCAGAACATAATCACCAAAATTGTCAAATATTCATTTTGATCTGGAGATAATGCATTGCTCAGAGTATCGAGAATCTTGATTTGTGGAATTTTGAAAGTGTTACAACTAGAAAAAATCTCATGGAGAGTAAGAAAGGGGAGCTTTATCTTCTTTTTATAATCTCCTTCTAGAAAAATAATCTCATCTTTCTCCAAATCCTGTAGATTATAAAAATTAGATTTATATATATAAAGCACTAAATTTCAAGATTATAAGTGTATTTACTTCAACTTTACGCTGCTTAATACCAAATGTAGTTGACCGATCAACAGGCCACTCAAATATGGTGTAGGCTGTTAAAATAGGGATAAGTTCAAGATTTTCATTCTCCATAAAAATTTCAAAGTACCGGGAATACTTTATACTGATTTGTTTTTTCAATGCATCAAGAAGTCTTTGGCAAGTTTCCGTTTCATATTGACAATTTTGAAGGAAGTATCGTAATCCACTTTGATAAAATTTCATCCTATACGTAGATTCATTACACTCAACGGCTGTACCAATGATACCCATTTGAAATATCATGACTTTTAGAAAATGACCGACAACACCTAGAAGTTCGATTATATACTCCAGATAGGTAGAAATCTTATTGATCCTGCCGATAACAGATGCAACAATATAGTAAGTAATGTTACGAAATACATCAACAGCTAATACTACTCACCTTTTTGTCTCATCATTCTAACAAAAATATTAAGTAAAATTAGCTTAGTATTATTAGAAGATCAACTAATGACGAAACTTAACAACAATAATTATAACTTACCACTCCCCGGTTAGCAAGATCTAATATAACTTCTTTAGCATGTTCAGTTTTCAACAGTGGTAAAGTTATGTCTTCAATTTTCGCGTTTGATGATTCTATTACATCAAACAACGCGTTTGCGTGTGTTCCAGTTAGCACAATAAAAAGAAAATAACCATTTGATATGACTCTTGCAAGAGCCTGAAGAACTGTCCTGAGCCATCCGGTATGTCCATTCCTGAATAGTGCATTTGTCTCATCAATGTTAATTATAAAAAGGGGTTTATTGTCTTTTTTGTTATCTGAGAAGTAATCTAAGATTATATCAATAACTTGATCGAATTTAATCGTACGAATTCCAAGTATATTTTTAAATTTTATAAAGGTGATATCGATACTGCAAGAGTAGTTTAAAGTGATTAAGTAGTAAGTAAGTATTACAGAATTATAAACAGATGGGACTTACTTCTTCTGAACTTTCAAAG